TGCATTTTGATACCTGAAATAGCTAAAAGTATGCTGAAGTAGAATTTTCCCATTCATTTGAATGGGGCAAAACTTTAAAAATAAAGTAAATATTTCAAAGATTTAAGGTTTAGAAGTATCAATGTCCTTGAGGAGCTGAACATTTTGATACCTGACATTATGCTGAAGTAGAATTTCCCCCATTCATTTGAATGGGGCAAAACTTTCAAAATAAAGCAAAATATTTCAAAGGTTTGGAAAAATCCTTAAGACAAGCATGAATGTCCTTGAGGAGTTGATCATTGTGATAGCTGAAATCATGCTGAAGTCCACTTGGGAGGGGATAGAAGCCTGAAGGTAGAAGTATATCGGAAACCTACACACAGAGACCAATACCTGCTTTTTGACTCTCACCATCCACTTCAACACAAACTGGGAGTCATCAGAACTTTAAATCACAGGGCAGAGGAAGTGCCCACAATGGCAGAAGGGGCCAAGAAGGAGAAATTACACATCCAGAACTCTCTTAGAGCTTGCGGATACCCCAAGTGGGCCTTCACCAAAGCAAGGAAGAGGCCCAACACCAACAGGGAGAAACCAGAAACAAGAGGGGAAAACACTGTCATCCCTTATGAGGCTGGTTTATCAGAGAAGTTAAAAAGGATATTTTGCAACCACAATGTCCCAGTTAACTTTAAACCAGGGAACACTTTGTGGCAAGGACTGGTCCACCCAAAGGACAAAACACCCAGACATAAACAGAGTGATGTGGTGTATGCAATTAAGTGTAGTCAGAAATGTAACAACTGGTACATTGGTGAAACTAAGCAGCCGCTTCACAAACGCATGGCCCAACACAGGAGGGCCAACCCCAGTGGACCAGAGTCAGCAGTCCACCTCCACCTAAAAGACAAAGGACATTCTTTTGAGGACAGTGAAGTCCAGATCCTCTCCAGAGAACATCACTGGTTTGAGAAAGGAGTTAAGGAAGCTATTTTTGTAAAAATAGAACGCCCCTCACCAAATAGGGGTGGTGAGCTAAGACACAACTTGTCATCCATTTACAATCCTGTTTTGAGATCTCTGCCCAAACATGCCCACCAGGACAATAGGCGTCAGTCGACAGGGGAGGATCCAAAGACAGGTAATTACTGTCACCGATACTGGGCTATAATGACTCAGTTGTTATGGCACATTGTTGGCCTTCAAAGGACTGAAACACCACCGAGGGGGATAAATATCGCTGGCTCAACACCAGTCAGTCAGAACTGATGAAGCCTCTTGGATGAGAGGTGAAACGTCTTCGACCTAGAAATCTAGTCCAGTTGATTTTTTCAAAGTTTTTTCAGTTCATCATGGATAATGTTCAGTGTAGTGGATTTTATAAACCATGTAACTATTACAAATAATCGAGGTCTGTCCTTTATGCTTACTAAAATATACTATAATGTAATAAATACATTAAAAACTGTGCAGTTACATTCTGCTGCATTTAAACTGTTCTACTCTATTCCCACTTGAATGTAATTTTAGTTCTCTGGTCAAGTTGTCAGTCAGCTTTTTTATATAGTAAATATAATGTTAGGCTCCTTAACTGGTTAAATAATGTTAGCAAGAGAACTTTTAGCAAACACAGCTGATAGTACTGAGTTCATGGATGTATTACAAGAGATGGATAGGGCGCCACCGATCGGACAGTTTTTCTCAATGGCTACACCCCTGAAGCCTACAGGTGGAGGCAGTGAAAGACAATTCAAGATTCAAAGTGTTTATTGTCATATGCATAGTATGGAAACGTGTTTTCCTGCACAATGAAATTCCTACTTTGACGTACACATTAAGTGCCAAACAACACAGGTGAAATATAAAGTAGATAAACAGCAGCACAGAGTTTAAAGGTACTTTGAACAGCAAAGAATATAATAACAAGTATATAAAAATATAATGAAAACACACTAGGAGATAATGTATGCTACATTGGAGCTGTATGTACAATAGTCAGCAGTAGGTGTGCAACTATGCATGTGCAGTTATGCATCTGCATGTAAACAGTACAGGTGCAGTTACATGAAGTAATCCCTGATTGTAAACCCCTGTAAGATGTTTAGGAGTCTAATGACAGTTGGAAAGTATGAGTTTTTCATTCTAGAGGTGCTGCATTTCACACTCCTGTACCCCGAGGGTAGAGGTATGTGAACAGTCCATGCTCGGGCTGGGTGGGGTTTTTGAGGATGGAGGCAGGTTTTCTACGCACTCTGTGGTGGTAAATGACTGCAGAGAGGGCAGTGGAGTCCTGGTGATCTTCTCCACAGTCTTTACCACCTTCTGCAGGCGCTTGCGGTCCGTGGCAGTAGTGCTGCCATACCAGACAGTGATGTAGCTGGTCAGGATGCTCTCAATGATGCAGCTGTAGAAATTGCTGAGGATCCTAGGCGACACTTTGTGGGAGGTGACGCAGTCATGGGTGAACAGGGTATAGAGGATGGGACTGAGGACACATCCCTGTGGGGTGCCGATGTTTGTGATGATGCTGGCCGAGGTCCTGTTGCCAGTCTTGACAACAGGAGCCAGTTACAGAGGGTGGGGTGCAGACCCAGTGTGGACAGTTTGTAGGTGAGTTTGTGAGGGTTGACCATGTTTAAAGTGGAGCTGTAGTCAATAAAGAGGATGTAGGAGTCTCTATTTTCCAGGTGAGAGAGGGAATAATGAAGGGCAGCAGCGATAACGTCTGAGGTGGCCCTGTTGGGCCAGTAGGCATACTGCAGGAAACAGTAATGCACATGTCTAATGGGCCACAAAGTGCAAAAGCAAACACGGAGAGTAGAAAACTTTTTTGGCTCAGGCACCAGCTGAGGAATTTCCATTCAAGTCACTGGGTGCTGGTATCCAGCATCTATATTAACTTAAATTCATTTCTGTGCTAGAGTAACATATGTCATTATTATTTGAATAATTGTCTCTGTTTCCTTATTGTCACTAAACTTTAAATGAACAGTCATGAAGGCCTATAATTACAGTTAAAATGTAACGATGGTAATCTCTTGTCTTCCTTAGGAAACATCTATTTTGAGACTGACTTGCTGAGGATTTTGAATTCTGAAATAGCTACATGTATAATAGATCTCTCTCCCCCTCTCTTCTTTCCCCTCTTCCCACTGGTTCTGCAGTTGGCCTACTTTCAGCCCATAT